TGTGGTGATCCTACTTGCTTAGTTCTGGGTTCTTTGAGTATTATTTTATTAATTCTTGAAGTACCCTTCCTTGAAACCCCTTTTTGATATCACAAACACAAAGCACAAAGCGCACTCACACCATCAAAAGCTGCAAGTGCCATGTGCGCCTGGCGGTATGCAATGGTTTCTGTTTCTCTTTCGTTAACGCGCGAGTGTGCGTGTGTGTTAGCCGAGTCTCTGTGACTGTGTGTGTGCGTGTTAGCCGACAAAGTGCAACACACAGCGCAATGACCGACGTACTCGAGCGTTGACTCGTTTCTGTGCTGCGACTTTTCTCGCTCCTCGCCGACGGGAATAATGATCTCGACGTAATGACGATTTTCAGCAGCCAGTGAGCTTGTTGATGCTTTTCCGGTCCCGATGACGTTGCGAACGCTCGCTCTCGCCCCATCTCTTTCTATTTTCCCCACTCTCTCCCTCTCTCTCTTTCCCACACTCTCTCTCGGCCATTTTGCGGAAGCTTCAACTCACCGCAAAACGCTCCAAAATGAGCAGCCAAATTGCGAGTTCCTTCCTTAATTGCGCACTCGTATCGTTTAAATATTTTTGCTTCCCTTTCACCAATTTCTCTTTGGTATAACACCATTTCTCTCTTATACTTTCGTTTATAGCACGCATTTCCCCGGTGACGTCACATGGCTTTCCCAACGCTTTTGCCCTCCCCGTATAGAATCGGTTGTTGTTTTGGCTGCACAAGCCGGCAATGTAAACAAAACATAAAATATATGAATGGGTGAGTGAGTTGTGCGGGTGTTTGGCTGTTTTTGGGTGTTTGGTTGCTCGGATGAGTGGGTGTTTGGGTGTTTTGGGTGGAAATTGGGAGACCCCGTTGCACTGGTGTTGGTGCAAATTCGGCAATGCGTGTGCGCTGCGCCTGATGAATGAAAATTTCGACTGGCAGCGGGGAAAGCGGGAAAACATCTGAGCGGTCATATGTTCGAGTTATGGCTGGATGGAAATGAAATTTGCTGCAGAAACTCAAGGTTTTTGCCATTAAAAAGGGAAAATGGAGAACACATTTCATTTCCTTAAATATTAAGTATTTAATAAGCACTGCTATTTATCAGCCCAAATATTTAAAACAATTTTTTGAAAGGAGTATTAAACTAAGCGGATATTGTTGTTCATAATAATATTTAGCTTGTACAAAATAATTAGGGTGATCTATTAAATAATTATAACGTTATTTTCGGTAACAGAGACTTAAAAAATTATTGAAAAATGCTTAAAAATTTTCAAAACGTACCTATATTTTGGCAGTGGTTGTTTTTAATGTTTTGCAAAAGTTTTTCTGTAGGCAATTTAAATTTGAAAGTTGTCTTTATCAAATTCGTATTTTTTATTAAATTGAACGAAGTTCAAACAGTTATAAACTCAATTTTTTGTGTCAAACCAATTGCAATTTACTAATTGCCCAACACTAAGAAAAATTTAAAATTTAATAATATTTTAAAAATTGGAATGCCTTTACCAATCATCAAATCAAATAAGGTTGAGCCTTGAAATCATTCTTGGAAAAAAAACTGACTGAGTGGTATCAATTTCAGCCTTGCAGATAAAAGATGCAAAAACCATTGACAGGTCGTGTCAGAAAGCACACGAAAATCGAGTGAGTCCCGAGCAATCGCATTTTAATTTGAATTCTTTCTGGTAACGCTACAACAAAAGCCCCCATGCGATGTGCACAACCAAAAAATGAACTTAAGTTTCGGCCAAGAATCTTGTTGAAGAATTTCTATTTGAGCATTTGTCATGTCTTCGCCTTAGTCTATAAAATATATTGTTGGTGGACGGGGAAAGGGGACAGGGGCGGAATGGGGGACCAGGACGCGGGGTGTGTGCAAATATGCGAAAGCTAAATGTCAGAGTCAACCCTTTCGAGCCATTCGGCCTGCCTTTTTTAGAACCCCATCCCCCTCCCTCAGCGGGCTGGTGTTGCCCCTTTTTGGGTGGAAAGGAAAGTTTTTATCTTAAGCTGCGCTGACAGGCAGCAAAGCGGCAAGCGAAGCAACACAAGTACACGCCGGACAAAGGAGCCGAGGGGGTGGCCAAACGGAAAATGGGAAATGGGGTGGGGTCGGGCAGTGGAGGGGGAAATGGAGGGGAGAGGGACTACGGCAAACGTCAAGTTATAGAAAACGCTAGGACGACTAGAGGCTGCACAATAAGAAAATGTCACCGAAATTGCTAATCAATTGGGTTGGTTGCTCAAGAGGCACAGATAATGTTAAGGAAAATCTTCTTTTCAATACCTTTTAAAAAATGAGAAAATAAACATTTCTACAAATAATGTTTATGTCTTAAATTGCATAGTTAAATATCTCGTAATATAAGTTTATTGCAAGACTCAAAATGTTTCTGATCATAGTATTATTTAAAAATGTTTAGTGAATGAACATCTATTTTTTAAATATCATATATTATTAAAGCTGTTATTATTGCTAGAAAAATGCTTTGAAATTCTATTTTGAGTATACCATTTATTATTTATTAAAAGTTACTATAACATTATATTTATCATTCCTAAGATTAGAATTCTTCACACTCTATCATTTTTTAATTGTTTGATGAATCGAATTTATTTTATTGTTAAATTAAAACTTTTATTATATTGTAACCAAGCAGTGCATTTAAATCCATGAATTTTATTGCTTAAAATTGAATGGAAAAATCATGGCACACATTTTTTCTCGGTGCGCTGAGAAAGGGGAATAGAACTGGTCTTTGGGGAGAAAAAATTAAAGGACAAGCTGAACGCATTCCTTGGGACACGGGCTGACAGTGAGTGATTTGACCATACCCTCATTTGCGTGCAACAAGGACCAAAGAACGGAGCTGAGCCCGAGATCCGAGTTCTGGGCTCTGGGTTCTGGGTACCGAGATCCCGGGACCAATGGATTAATGTGCAAGGATGCGACTCGTCAGGCAGGCCAAGAAAATTACGTCAAGCTACGCAATGGGCCCGTTTTTCCCCCATCCCCATCTCTAAACCCATACCCAATCTAAACCATTTTATTCCTTGGAAATCTGATGATGAGCGCCGACTGCTGCGGGCGGGCGACTCAAAAATGGGAGTGGCTCATTTACGCGCTGCACTCGAGTTTCAACCGGGGGCCCCGAGAACTTTTCCAAGCTATTTCTGCGCCCAAATGACAGCGAAATGTAATAATGAAAAACTTTTTCTTTGTCAACTTGATGAGTATGAAATTTTTCACAAAAAAAAAAAAAGGATAAAATAAAATAAAAGACGAGAAAGGGTTGGCGGTGCGGCGAGCTAGAAATATGAAACGTCAGGACTGGTCCTTGGTTAGCCTTCGAGATTAGTTATGGCAAAGGAATTTCCAAGCGAAGGCGCACGCAAATGATTGCATGCCGCATTACGCATACGCCCGGTTGTGCGTGGCGTGGCGTGTTTTAAAATTGAATTTTAATATACAGCAGACACAAAGAGAGTTGTATGTATGCATGTATAGCCGGTCCAGTGTTTGGCCGTTCTATAATCCCGGTCTCCCCCCCCCAGCCACACCGAAAAAACACATGTTCTGCATTTTTACTTTGTACTGGACCCGGAACCTGTATCATCCCCACCATTTTGCTGCACCGCATCGAGGATTGCGGAATTCATAAGCTATGTGCGTTTGCTACAGAAGTGGAATTTTCGCCACGGCAAAGGATACCCGCTTTCAGGTTCCTGGTTGCTGGTTCCTGTTACCCAACTCCTGGCTTCTGGCTCCTGGCTCCCAGTTCCCACTCACCAGAGATCCCAGGCATGCCATTAACCCACTCGCAAAAAGCGCAAAATCGCTTAAATTATTGTTACAAGCTGCCACTGCCAAGTGGCAATAGCAACAACAGGAGGCAGAAGGTGGAAGGCAGTAGGCGGAGGGCAAAAGGGCAAAGGGCAAACCGCCTGAGCTTTTGGCCGCGCTTTGCTTTGAGTGCCAGTTAGCATAACTCCGCCGGCCGCAGGCGAATATGTCTGCTTTTGCCTCTATATAGTCCTGATGTTGTTGCCGTTGCTGTGGGTGCTGCTCTTGATTTTGCTTTTGCCGTTAGAAATATTTCCGCCCAGGCAAAGGACATCCTCTCACCTGCCCGTTCTCACCTGCCTGCCAAGCTGCCATCTCCAAACGGGAGCGTACAGCCAGCTAAAAGTGTCCTAGGTGGGTGCTACCTAGATTTTTAGCAAAAACAGCTTGACGGAAAAAAAAAATTTTTTTTTTAATTTTTTTGGTTTTATTTAAAAATGGAAAGATACGAACAAAATGTTTTTATTTATTTAAATTAACTCCAGTTAAAATGCAATTACAAATAACCTGTTACCTTTTTTATGGCTAAAGCTACTCTGGCCTTAAGTTACGGCTTATGTACATTTATTTATACTTATAAAGAAAACGTTGATTTATAAAAACAATTCTAATTTTGAATGAAATAAATAAATTAATATATTCATTTATTAATTACTTTTGCGTTGTGCAAATTAAACAAAAACTTTTGATGAATGCTAATGCCAATTAATCCGCATATTTCATTTTGCCATTTATGTTTCAAAGGTTAGGAATGAGTAAAATATTTTTTAAATGTATAATAAATTAATATAAAAAGGTATAATAAACATCCCTTAAGCAAATAAAAAAAAAATTTGTAATTAACTCAATACCAACCTATTTGCAAACATATTAGATAAGCAATCAACTGGAACAATAACGTGCAAGCAAATCGATTAACTGGCAATTTGCTGTGAAATTCCCACGATACCTCCAATTATCGTCCATCATTAGGAATGCATTTTTCACACTCTCCTAATTTAGAACTTTGAAATCTATTTCAAGAGCGAGATAATAAAAAAGTTTGTGATAGAGATAGCACAACACAAGCGAATCTTATCTTTGCTTTCAAACACTGTGCTTATCAAAACAGTAGGGATGACACTATAAAATGCAAGCGTTAAGCCCAAGTATCTTATCTACCGGCGGTGTTATCAAGAAAACATTTATTGTAAACAAAATATATAGCTATAAGGAACTTATTGCACAACTAAATGCAACGAATAAAATGGGAATTACTGATCGACATCAGTAAACTTAAAGGGGAATGCAATAGCCGGTTCCATGACGAACATGGTCTTGAAAGGTCTGCTGGCATCCCGATTGAACTCCACGTGGAAATTGCGAATCAGTTTGGCCACAGTGGTCTCCATTTCCAGGTCCACCACTCTTTTGCCAATACACATGCGGGGTCCAAAGCCAAAGGGCAAGAATGTGAAGGGGCTGACCTGCATCTTCTTACCCGTCTCCGGATCCCTTAGCCATCGCTCTGGTAAAAACTCATCTGGTCGCGGATAGAACGAGCTGTCTTTCATCAGGACATTGGAACCAAGTAGAACAGTTGTTCCCTTGGGCACCGTATAACCGGAAAGTATCACATCATTTTGGCATGTGCGCATGGTTCCCAAACCATTGGGATAGTATCGCAGGGTCTCTTTGATCACAGCCCTCAAATAGGGCATATCCTTCATGGTATCCTCGTTGAGAAGGCTATCCTTTGTGGGCATGATCCTCAAAAGCTCCTCTCGCAGTTTCTGCTGCTTTTCAGGGTGTTTTGAAAGACATAGTAGAACCGCGGAAAGAAGTGTTGAAGTGGCATCCACACCGGCGAAAAGGATGTCCAAACCCATGATCACTGCCACTTTGGGATCGATCTCCATCAACCTCTCTAGCATACTGTTGCTGTTTACTTTTTCACCCGCTTCGCGACGCTTTTCCAGCGCCTCCTGATTTTCCTTCAGCATTTTCTGGGCCACATCCAAACTGGAGTTGAGGGTTCTTTTCATTTTCCTGTAAGTGGGTGTCGAAATAATCTTCCACATAGAGGGCTGAAAGTCCAGCTTGAATGTCAACCGAAAGATATCCCTCGTGGTCTGAAAGAGGGTTAATGCATCGGGATTATCGCGGTTCTTTCTGATCAAACCCATTTGTCGATCGAATGCCACCAGGGCCAGTGACTCAAAAATCATTCGACAGATTTCATCCGTGAAATTCTCGGGTACTTCCAGGGTCTTGGGATCGCGGATCTCCTTAATTCTGTTAGGAATCAGATTAATCCAGGATTTTTTTTTATGATTTAAGTACTAACCGCTCTATGAACTCATTGTTAATGTTCGACAGGGGTTCGTAGTACATTCTCAGTCCCCTTGGTTGCATGAAAATGGGATTGATGGCTGAACGCAGTTTGCCCCAAGTCTCGTCTTGTCTGGAAAGTTAAATATCAGTTACCTGATAATTATTATGTCAAGATTTGTTTGACTTACGAAGCAACCAGACCCTGAATCTCTCCATAAACATCTGGTCTAACGTGTTGGCGAAAATAAACAATCGAATCCAGACCGTCGCGATGTGGCCAGATACCCTCGTTGCGAAAAACCGTCTCTATATCCTTGGTGCTAAATGTGGTCACCCAATCCTTGCGGCCAAACATTCCAGGCATTATATAGATATCTCCATAACGCTTTCGCATAGTAGAGGTGTATTCCGTTATTGATGCGTTTTGGAACTCCCCTCCAGGCATGAAAGCCCTCATGAATTTAAATTTGTTGGGACGTGGGATGTCATTGTAGGGCTTGGTTTCCTCAGATATCTATAATTGTAAATAATAGTTTCGACTGCTTTTCCCATAAACTAACGTTTTTACTAACCTGAGTTTGTGCCAAGGCGGAGGCTGATCTCAGAGATCGAACGGGGCCTACGAAAATCGCAATAGATCGCGCACTGTTCAGGGTAATCATTCTCGTGCTCAACTGAAAACCTGTTCACTATTGAATGCATTCTTATAGCTATGCCTTATCTCTAAAAAGTAAAAACAGAGAGAATAGAGAAGAGAGCTATACAAAGTAAAGCTTTCAAACCAAAACAAAACCTAGCAAACAAAGCATGAGTTTCAATTTCTTATCAAATAAACAGTGTATCACCATGATTTGCCTACCCCACTCAGCAAAATAATATAAACAACAGAGCGGGAAAGCTTTAAAACCGGTTAAGACTGCATGTAACAGCGTTTGGACTTATAATACCCCTTCAAAAATCTTTAAAATATTAAAAAAAATTTATCTAATTCTTTAAATTGCTGACACATTTTGGAAATGTTTTGAATTACATAATTATTTATAACAAAGAAACATTTTTTTACTTACTTAATATTTTGAATATTAGCTTAAATATGTTTAAACAGTTTAAGCATAAACTTTTCTTGATACTTAATTGAAAAAAAAGGTAGTTATATTGGACATTTATGAGTTACATATTTATATATATTTTTTACCATACAAAAAGTATTTAGATCTAGGTCTCTTTATTTGACAGAAACTAAATATTGTATCAGCCAAAACATTTAAAGCAATCCCAAACCTGACAACAAATTTCCCAAACACACACAAGTTTAGAGGGAAAAGGAAGCCAGAAAGGACGAAAAAAGAACTGGCCACATTGATTTGCTGATCAATTTTCAATTTTACGCCAATTTTCCAAATTAGCCGCCAATTAAATTTGCATTTTCCAATTGGCCAAATAGGCCAACACATTCTATGGACCACACCTGACCAAAAACAACCCAGCACTCCCACCGTTTCACCCATTACCGCTAAAACATCACGGGCTCGTTTAAATGTTGTTCGGCTTTGGGTTTTGGCTCTCGCAATTAAAAATCAATTTTTAGAGAGGTATTTCATCTAGAGATAACAGAAGTCACGTGCTTGCCATATAAAGCTTGTGCCCATTTGAAAGATCTAATCTAATGGGAAATCTTTAAGTACTTAGAATAAGATTATTTATTTACATTATTTTCCAAGAAAGTTTATAAATTTTAAAGCCATTATTGGTCGATATCACTGAATTTAAAGCGGAAAGGAATGGCCGGTTCCATGAGGAAGGAAGTTTTATAGGGACGACTAGAATCGTAGTTGAACTCCACCTGAAAGTTCCTTATCAACTTGGCCACACTCGTCTCGATTTCCAGGTCCACCAATCTTTTGCCAATACACATGCGAGGTCCGAAGCCAAATGGCAAGAAACTGAAAGGATTGATCGGTGTTTTCTTTCCAGTCTCGGGATTCATTAGCCAGCGTTCCGGCAGGAACCTCTCAGGTTCCGAATAATAGTTTTTGTCATGCATAAGAATATTTGATGCCAAAACCAAGTTAGTGCCCTTTGGCACATTGTAACCAGAGAGAGTGACGTCTGTGGGGCAAATTCGCAAGTTGCCCAAACCATTGGGATAATATCGCAGGGCTTCTTTTATCACTGCCCTCAGATAAAGCATATCCTTCATGGTCTCCTCGTTAAGAAGGGTGTCCTTGGTGGGCATAATCTTCAGGAGTTCCTCTCGCAGTTTGCCCTGTTTTTCGGGATTCTTAGCCAGACAAAGCAGCACAGCTGACCATAAATTAGACGAGGCATCGACTCCGGCAAACAGAATGTCCAAACTCATGACAACAGCCAGTTTCGGATCCACGTCCATCATCCGCTCCAGCATGCTATTGCTATTCACCTCTTCTCCTGACTGACGTCGTTTTTCCAACAACTCCTGGGTTTCCCTCAACATATTCTGCGCAGCCAACAAGGACTCGTCGAGTACGCTCATCATTTTCCTATACGCAGGCGTTGAGATATACCGCCACATCGATGGCTTGACATCCAATTCGAAGACATATTGGAGCACTTTTCTTGCCATGTTGAACAGAACTAGAGCATCGGGATTGTCCCGATTCTGTCTGATCAAACCCATTTGGCGATCGAAGGCCACCAAGCCAAGGGAATCGAAAATCAGTCGTCTCATTTCGTCCATGAAGTCATCAGGAACTTCTAGGGTCTTACCATCTCGTATTTCCTTGATTCTGGAAAAGTTTGAAAGTCATGAGAATAAAAAGAGTTACCCCTACCATATCTTACCGCTCAATAAACTCATTGTTGATATAGGAAAGCGGCTCGTAGTAGGTTCTCAAGCCCTTGGGTTGCATGAAAATTGGATTGAGGGCTGATCGAATTTTCCCCCAGGTCTCCGCTTGTCTGAAAGTTGGATTACGTTATAAATAACATTTTTCTTTAAATATTTATAATATTTCTAACTTACGACGCCACAAGACCAGGATGTTCTCCATAGACGTCTGGCCTTATTTTAGTCCGGTAATGTTGAAACGAGGCGAACATTTCTCGTTCGGGCCAAATTCCCTCATTGCGGAATACCATCTCTATATCCTTGGTACTAAACGTGGTCACCCAATCTTTGCGTCCGAACATTCCGGGCATTATAAAGATATCCCCATAACGACTTCTCATCGCTGCCGCATAATCCACAATAGAGACATCATGGAACTCGCCGCCCGGCATGAACGACCTTATGAACTCTATCTTCCCAGGACGTGGGATCTCCTTATAAGGTCTAGCTTGGGTAGTTACATTATCGGTTACCTATAGTTGGGACCATATAATACTGTTTCACTATTGCAAATAGAGTTCTACTCACATTGGCAAAAACCTGTGCCTGCCCAGAAGCTGCCCTCACAGACTGAATGGAACCATTTGTGAGGGCCACCCGCTGTGCTGTCTGCAAAATATTCATATTTATCGTATCACACTTGCTCTACTATCGAACAACTGACCTATAAAGACAACTCCCCAGCGTATTTATACCCTATCCTTATCTAAAGAGAAAGGAACAATCCGAGTATGTAAACAAAGGTAATCAATAAACAAAGTAGATCTAAAAATAAATTCCGTCTTGCAAGAACTCGCTATCAAGCATGTCTTGCAGTTTTTGAAGTCTAAATATCTGGCTATCTCTACGATTTAAATTTCACGCTGGTCAAAAAATGTATGATGAAATTTCTGATAAGGTTTGTCTAACCGATTCTCCACCGAAGTTAACGATCGATTATATGTTTTATTGCTAGTTCGAGGGGAACCGGAGCTACATTAAGAGATAACAATAGTCGCGTGCTTGTGGCTTTTAAAGATAATCTAATCAAATTAGGAAAAGCGTTTGCCATTCTGAAAAACTTTATTTATTTACAAAATTGCACAAAAAATGTGATCAATTTCAAAAGCCATTTAATGGTCGATATCGCTGAACTTAAAGCGGAAGGGAATAGCCGCTTCCATAAAGATGAAAGTCTTAAAAGGGCGACTGGCATCGTAGTTGAACTCCACCTGGAAGTTTCTTATCAACTTGGCAACACTCGTCTCGATTTCCAGATCCACCAATCTTTTACCAATACACATGCGAGGACCGAAACCAAATGGCAAGAAACTAAATGCATTGATGGGGGTCTTCTTCCCAGTCTCGGGATCCCTTAGCCAGCGTTCTGGGAGGAACTTCTCAGCCTGCGGATAGTAGCTGTTGTCCTGCAACAGAACATTGGATCCGAGGACTACATTGCTGCCCTTGGGCACATTGTATCCGGAGAGAGTGACGTCTGTGGGACAAATGCGAAAGTTTCCCAGGCCATTGGGATAGTAGCGCAGGGCTTCCTTGATCACTGCCCTCAGATAAGGCATGTCCTTCATGGTCTGCTCGTTGAGGGGGGAGTCCTTGGTGGGCATTATCTTAAGAAGCTCCTTCCGCAGCTTCGCTTGCTTCTCGGGATTCTTGGCCAGACAGAGGAGCACAGCTGACAAGAGATTAGTTGTGGCATCCACACCCGCGAACATGGTGTCCATGCTCATGATCACCGCCAGTTTGGGATCCACCTCCATCATCCGCTCCAGCATGCTGTTGCTATTTATTTGCTCGCCCGCCTGTCGCCGTTTCTCCAGGGAGTCTTGGGTTTCCTTAAGCAATTTCTGCGACACTTCCAAACTCTCATCGAGAAGCCTCATCATTTTCCTAAACGTTGGAGTGGATATATATTTCCACAACGACGGTTGGTAATCCACCTTGAAGACATATCTGAGCGACTCTTTTGTTAATTTAAACAACCTCAAGGCATCGGGATTATTTCTATTCTGCCTGATCAAACCCATTTGGCGATCGAAGGCCACCAAGCCAAGGGATTCAAAAATCAAGCGGCTTATTTCCTCCACAAAGTTATCAGGAACCTCAAGGGTTTTGCTATCTCGTATTTCTTTAATACTAAAAAATTGGTTCAACGTCAGTTTGATCTATAGGCATACATTTTGAAAATATCTTACCGCTCAATAAACTCATTATTGATGTTTGAAAGTGGTTCATAATATGTTTTTAGACCCTTGGGTTGCATGAAAATTGGATTGAGGGCTGATCGCATTTTACCCCAAGCTTCGGCTTGGCTGAAAATTTTAAGGAGCTGTTTATGGAAGTTTTAAAAAGCGGTTGTTTTTTAACTTACGCGGACACTATACCAATATTTTCTCCATAGAAATCATTTCTTATGTAAGTCCGGTAATAGGTCAACGAAGGGAAGACATCTCGTTGCGGCCAAGTTCCCTCATTGCGGAAAACCATCTCCATGTCCTTGGGACTGAAAGTGGTGACCATATCCTGGCGGCCGAATATTCCAGGCATTATGAATATATCACCATATCGTTTTCTCATCGCTACTGCATAATCCACAATGGAGAGTTTGTGAAATTCTCCGCCTGGCAGAAATGCCCTTACGAACTCGAATTTACTAGGACGCGGTATGTCCTTGTAGGGTCGAACTTCAGTGACTGCATCATCGGTTGGCTAAGGAAAAAGTTTTTACGAATTTGTTGTAAATCAAATGAGTGCAATTCCATATTTACTCACATTGGCCAAAGCCTGAAAAGAAGCTCCCCTTACGGAGTTAATTGATCCATTCGCAAAGACAACGCGCTGTGCACTCTGAAATATTCTCATTTTTAATATGTTTGACTGCGTCCACAGTTGAACAACTGACTTATAAAGACGGCCAGACAGGCTTTTATAGCAAACCCTTATCTCTTTAGAGGAGAAAAGCCCGAGAGTAAAAGCTAAGCGAATCTATATAGCAAAACAAAAAAAAAATAATAATCACAAACCAAAACTCGCAATCCGGCATGACTTGTTAAAATATTGTCTGCTTACCGTGAAAGAAAGCGAAATATAGCCGTGAAAGTTAGAAAAACTTTAATATAGAGGGTCCTTCGATACCCTATGTAAAATATTTGAAGATATGCGAATGATACTGATTTCTTTTGATGAAAGTAATGACATTTTAAAAAATATTTGCACATAATGCTGCTTTGCATTAATTTTTTATTTTAAATTTTTGTTTAATTATGTGTACTATAGGGTGGACTTTTAAAAGGTAAACAAAAGGTCAGAATTTTAAATGATAGGCTTGTAGGTCAAATACATTTATGCGAACTATTAACATTTTTATCATACTTAAAATCTCCTAGTGTACATTGTAAAAATGAGCATACCTTAAGCCTTTAATTGATTTATAGTTATGTTATATTTTCTAACTTAACTAATTTGTTTTGAAAGAAATATATAAATATTATTGTTTATAATTATTTATTTATATAATTTTAATTTTTTAATTTTATTGTCATATTTGCATGTTTTTAATGATTTTTAACATCAAACAACATACTCTTTGACGTAAATATCATTAAACATTTGGTTCATATCAAACGTTCTAGTCAGAAAATAACAACTTTATTTTGCATTATTTAAGGTTTTCATCTTTAATCTATAGGTAGCGACAAGAGAACTGCAACTCTTGAGTTCTCAAGACATGGCCAAGAAGTGCTGTGGTCCCCCAAAACAAATTACGCCAGCCAAATGCAATCCAAGAAGAGGCTGTAAATCTTGGCGGCATTGTTGTACTATATCTGCCTCGGATCCGGGATCCTTCAGACTACCAGACTCCCAGTCTCCCAATCTTCCGTGCCTCCCATGTGCATAATCAGTGCACTCAGGCGTTGCACAAAAGGCGGAGCGGAGAACAGAACCCAGTTATGTTCAAGTGTCACCAAGGCTGGCCGCAACTGTCGGCAATAACAAACCCCGTGTCGAGTGGAATGGAAAGGGGAACTGGGGAATCCCATGATTCCCATTTTCTTGCTCTGCTCCTGACGCAAGGAGACGTGTTCCTGCGGCTCCATTTTGTACCTGTTCCCGACGTACATGGCAGCCATCTCTTGGCCTCCATTTCCCCCCTTTCATTGGTCCTGAGTGCGTGTGGTCTCCGGTTGCAGTTGCATTTGAAGCTGGAACTGGAGTTGGAGTAGCAGTTGCTCATTTTTACCCATTCCCATTCCCATTCCCCGACCCCTCAACCACCCCACATGGCCTGGCCTAAACCAGCTGCCAAATGGCATCTGCCTGCTGACATATCTCTTGAATCCATTGCTGAATTCAGTCTTTTGGCTTCCAGTTCCAGTGTTTCTTCCTCATCTTCCTCGCTTTGTTTCACTCTCTCTCTGGCGAAAGGTTTTTAAATTTCGACTGGAGCACCCTTGAAGCTGCCTTTGGCAAGTGGCAAGCACAACATCCTGCCACGGCACCCACTCCCTTTCCCCTTCCCTTTCCCTTTCCCTGTCCCGCTTTCCACTTCCACTTAACTGCTGGAATTTCTCACGTGTGCCGAGCATCTTTTGAAGACCGGGCTCTGAGCGCATCAGGCGCAACGACTTGAAGTGTTTATATTCCATGCCGACAACTTTATCCACACCCCACATGCACGGAGAAAAACAAATGAAATGTGAGCTTTTAAATACATTTTATTCAAGGTGTTGGGACTGGAATACTAAACAAGTATAGCAATTGTAATTAAATTATATTTTCATATATTTAACTTAAATTAATAAGTAAACAAATAAATTTAAATAAAATTTTCAGGCTTTAATTATATATGTATGTTTCTTTTTTTCATTCAGCAAAGCAAAATTTTATAAGCCTTTCCTTCAATCGTTGATAAATTTTATGTTACAGTAACAATCTAGTTGTTTATTTCATGATTTAAATAGTTTCTATGGCTTGATTTACAAAAATAATCATCTTTTCAAATTTTAAAATCTCCAGACGTTTGTAATCAATAATTCTTGTTCCTTTAACTATGATACTTAAAGGGTGTTTCACAATCTCTTTAATAGTTTATTTTATGATAAACAGTACTTAGGGTTTGATAACCAACAAAATCATGTTTAAATTTCCTATAATCTTTATATATTGATAATCATTAAAGTCTGCCTCAAAATATTTTACTAATTATTTTTGATTTTCGTAATATTTATATTTATATTTTAAATTTGGAAATTATAAAATTATGTAGACTATATAAATCCGTAATGGTAAAATATACATAATGTCGAAAATTCATTTATAAAGCTTCCACTAAATTACACGTTTATAAAAATAAACCTTCAAAATGTTCCATATTACATTCTAGTTTCTCCCTGTGTACCAATAACAGCAACAGTAGCAACATCTCTGGCAGCAACAGCAAGAACCGCAGGAGCAGGAACGCAGCACACAGTTGCCTTGTTTATGGTAATTACTTCACAAATCCTGCAACTTTTTAATTAACTTAATTTGCTTGAAATGCAACAACTTTGCCTGCGTATTCGGTGTGCGTGTGTGGGTGTTGGTGTTGGGTGTGTGTGTGGGCATGCAACAAAATTTTGCACAAAAAAAATAAAACTGCATTTTATGTGGCCTAAATGTTCCTGCTGTTGGCTGCCGGTCATCAAATCAAGTGATTGCCCGACACACGGGGGCACCTAAGACTCGGCAGGACATGTGGTTAACGCTGTTTTTCCATGTCATGTCACCCGGCTGACAACTCTCCGTGTTCGGATGCGGTTTGTGGGTGGTAGCTGGTGGGTGGTGGGTTGTGGGTGCCTTCAAATGCACACTACCCAACGCACATTGTCAAAATTCGTCACTTGGGCAACACTCATATGCAGTTCTATACAAACCCAACCTCCCATCCTGCCACCTTTCCACCCATCACCTGGCCTAATGAGCTGTCAGCAACCATGGCTGCTACCAACTTGGCAAAGCAACCACAAGATTTTGCAGACACTTCTGGCCAACACACAGACAACTGTGCATTTTGCATACATGTGGTTGGTCCCAACATGTCTTGATTGCCAGAAAACGAAGACTTGCACCGAATGTTGCAACAGTTGCAACTGCAATGTGCAACAGCAGCCCACATCGAAGTAGGACGCTTAGCCAACTCTGTTTATGGACTGCTAACTAATTTGGTTTAATGGATTTCCTTGCATCGATATGGCTATCGAGTCTGTGGCTCCTTTGAGCCGCTTGCAACAATAATGCTGGGATTTGCTATTTCTGTGGCCAAAACAAGATTTCCCCCTTTTGTGCGATTAATGTCACATGAGCAAGCAATTGTCATTGTTAAGGAATATTACTTGTCAAAGGCAGGCCTAAGTAGTTTCGAAACATTGATAGTGTTTTACAGAAATTTCCAATTCCGGCCATAACCATACTGACTCATTTAACCGCTAAATGCCCGCCGGTTATGCTAAGCCCTTTGGCACATTGTTTGTTTGATTGACCGCGACTAAGTAATATATTGCGGCAGTTCGAGAATGTTTAACTTGGCTGGGCGGCAAAAAAGAGTTTGCCCGCATAGTTGACTTCACCCGGGCATTTTGTTGATTAAATTATAATAAGCGATGGCAGCTCTTCGGGGCAGCTCTTAACCCCCTTCTTCGTACCGAATTAACCCCCCCGCCCCGCCACCGAAAACCCGAAAGCCACCCATATAAGTCAACAATTACAATTATGCTTTGATGACCGTATGACCAGCACACATTAATTTATAATTTGTTCAAATTATAATTGCCGGCCATAACTGCAACAACGCACGCCAGTGGCATTTGGGGCATTAACACTAACACCCTGGGGACATGACTAAGCCCCTGACACAGCATACGAAACAAGCTGCCCGAAGAGGGGCCCACACGAATTTAACCTCTTCAATTGACCAGGGCTCGGTGGGTTTGGTTGGGAGGGGTTGGGATGGTATGGGGGGATTGTTGGATTGTTTGTCTGTTGACCTTCATGACGTCGTCAGCAGCAGCAGCACAAACAGCAGACAAACATAAAAGCGCATAGCACACACCCATCTGCCATTGCACTCAAGGGTTGCACTCTCGTCCGGCTGTCAGTCACTTTTCATCGGGGATTTTCCGAGCTGCCCGCATACCCTGTTTATGGGTACATCTTCGTAACAAACAAAATCCCTGAGAAAATTTTCCAATGAGAAGAAGTTTACTACAGTAATTGAATTAAAATTGGGAACCATAAATTGTTACATGGTTTATAAAAATTATATTAAGAATCCTTTCAAAACAGCATGAAAAGAAAATTTATTTTCAGAAATTCAACACCCTCAACCCCTCTATTTTTCTCATAAATCCGTCTTGATCAAAAACACTTAAGTACCCAAAAATAGTACCCATTAAAATATTAAGTTTTTTAAATTTTTTCCGTAAAATATAAAACAAAATCATGTTTTAACAATTTCTTTCCAAAGAGCTTTAAAGAAGAACATTATAAAAGTAACACTCGAATTTTTTATGATATTTTCATATTTTTTCGTATTTAACATTTTTAAAGCAATATTTTTTTAAAGACCATTTCAAATATGTTCAATATCATATTAGGTTTATAATTTAAAAATCACTTCGGCTTACTTTTCACTTTTACATATTTTATTACCCTTAACATGTTTTTTACATTTTTAAAAATTGATAATTTAGCCTTGTATACACCCTTTGTTTTTTATTACTTGATTGAACGTACATATCTATATATCAAACCCCCATGACCAGGTATCACTTGGTTGAAAGCCTGCGTGACCGTTTAATTAACCGAATATGACGCATTCGATCTAAATTGAATTATTTACTCAGTTTTTA